TGAAAATCAGGATATGACTTTTACTCCCCCAAAACCTAACTGTTAAGTCTACTGTTGACCAAGAAACATTACAGATAACATAAACAGTTGATTACACTATTTTGTTTAATAGTGTACACACATGTGAACACATATATTTTGTATATGTATTATGTACTGTATTGTTACAATAAAGTGAGCTAGAGAAAGGAAAGTGTTATTAAGAAAATCATAAGGAAAAGAAAATACATTGATATTACCCTACTGTATTTATTGGAAAAAATCTGCATATAAGTGAATCCATGCAGTTCAAATCTGTGTTGTTCAATGGTCACCTATATTTACTGTCTGGCCCTTTACAGAATAAGTTTGCCCACCTCTATACTTGCTAGTCAAGGAGAATCTGGGTGACCACTGATTTAGGGTGCTGTAGAAGTAATGGCAGGATTCAGCTCTCAGACCTCTGAGGCTTTCACCAGCTTTATGGCTATGATCAGTAGACATGGTTTCGAATGCATGACAAGTGAAAAATATTTAAATACATTTGATTAATGACAAGCTAAGCTTTAATATCTAAGTTTCAAAAAGTTATATTTAAATTAGATGAGTCAATTTCTCAGTATCTGACCTCCATATATTACATTGTCCTAGGAAGATGAGCCAGTAGAAAATGTTAATCAGTCATTTGGGTTGGCATCCATCTAAAGCCAGTAAGTTGTAGGAATCCATTTAAAATAAAAGGCAAATGCAGAAATAAGTCCTATTTCTCCTTTATTTTAGTGTCTCACATTTCCCCCTTAGGTTTAATATTGACAGCACTTTATAGAAGGAATGAATTAACATAAATATTGAAGTTTAGGATTAAATAATATGGAAGCTTAAATAATACATGCTTCCATAACAAAGAAAATAATAAACTAGTAATACTGCAATCTGTGACCACATAAAATTAAATATTTACTTGTTTTCGAGAAAGATGTGTTTCCTAAGGATGAACCAGCATCTTGCTTTGGAGTCACTGTGGAGTTTTGAGCATTACATTCTACTTGAGGTAGCTGAATTTAGCCAGTAATTATTGGAAGGAATGATTAAAGGAAGCTCAGAACAAACATTTTCTCATTTTTAGTTGGCAGAAAACTAGTAGTAACAACAACAACAACAAAAGTTCAAGGATCTAAAAGCAGTGGGATGAATTCAGAAACAAAATGAGAACATATGATGAAATCTTAAGCAATTCTCAAGGCACTTCTCTAATTGATGTTTGTTTGCTTAATGAGCTAGAGAACTTGCTAGAGATAAGAAGTCAACTGAATAGAAAAAGGAGCTAGATATCTGTCATGATTCTGAATAACTATATCAGCCATTCTAAGATTTTCAGTGGAAGAAATACAAAAGAATACCATCTGTTTATTAATATTTTTAAAGAAGGTCAAGTCAGAGTATATATAATAGTGGCTACTATGCTTCTTCTAAAATACACCAGTGAAGGGGCGCCTGGGTGGCTTAGTCGGTTAAGCGTCCGACTTTCGCTTAGGTCATGATCTCGTGGTTCGTGGGTTCGAGACCCATGTCGGGCTCTGTGCTGACTGCCAGCTCGGAGCCTGGAGCCTGTTTCAGTCTGTGACTCCCTCTCACTCTGACCCTCCCCTGCTCACGCGGTCTCTCTCTCTCTCTCTCAGAAATAAATAAAACATTAAAAAAAATTAAAATACACCAGTGAAGAAAGTAACTGAAATATAAAAAATAACTCGCCTTTGGTCAGTGGGGAAGCTAGAACCAGAGTCCTGGTTTTCTTACTGTTTTCAGTGCTTTCTACTAGCCCAGTGGTCTCAAAAGTAAGCCGAAAAACTTCTAAAAATGCAGATTTCCTAGACTCACAGCAGACCTACTGAACCAGAATATCTCCAGATTGAGCCAGGACTCTCTATTTTTAGAAAGCTGCTCAGGTAGTTCTGATGTGTCCTGTGTGCATACCAATGCTGGATAACATCAGAGCTAGGCTGCCTATTCTGAAAAGAAAAAAGTACACTGATGTGAGGAAGTCATTTTGTATTACTATTAAAATTGTGGAGTTCAGAATAAACTATGATATTTTAAAAGGCGTCCTCTTAAGTACATCCAAGTTTAGAAAAGTAGACTGCTGAGAGCTAACATATGCTAGGACTCATGTTCAGCCTTATCATATTGAAGGGTAATCCTTAATGGTCAGGAGCTTTTTGTTGTGTTTTGCTCTTGAGATACCTTGAGGTTTGAGTTGGGAGTCATAGACTGAACTTCCTCTGAAGAAGTAAGCCTCAGCATTGACAGAGTAGAGGTGCCAATGTTACCATGATGACACTTTTCAGAGCAGTTCAGAAGAAAAAGAGAACTTCTACTTCTGTACACTGCCCAGCTGCTTTTTAAGAGGAGGTTAAAAAGAGAGGTTCTGAGAATGCATGATCATCCCCACTTTCCCATTTGGGGGCTATGATAGGAAAGAATTCTCGTGGAATAAAAGGGAAAGCAAGTTTTAGTTATTAGGAGTCAGGAACATGGTTATACCTACCTATTGCTTCAGCCAGTACCTTATTGCAGTTTGCAGGTAACTGAACATATGTTATATTTAATTTTATAGGCAGTTAATAAAAGCATTATATTCTCAGAGTTGCTTCTCTCCTTTTTTTTTTTTTTTAAAGTTTATTTATTTTGAGGTACACCTGGGTGGCTCAGTTGGCTAAGCGTCCAACTTTGGCTCAGGTCATGATCTCATAGTTCATGGGTTCAAGCCCCGTGTCGGGCTCTGTGCTGACAGCTTGGAGCCTGAAGCCTACTTTGGATTCTGTGTTTCCCTCTCTCTCTGCCCCTCCCCTCCTCATGCTCTGTCTCTCTCTGTCTCAAAAATAAATAAAACATTAAAATTTTTTTTAAGTTTATTTATTTTGAGAGAGAGAAAGAGAGAGAGCAAGGGAGGGGCAGAGAAGAGAGAAAGAGAATCCCAAGCAGGCTCTGAGATGTCAGTACAACTCAGGGCTCAAACTCACAAACTGTGACATTATGACCTGAGCAAAAACCAAGAGTTGGATGCTTAGCCAGCTGAGCCACCTAAGCACCCCTCGAAGATGCTTCTCTTAAATTTCATGTCAGTTGAAAGGTTTTGGAGCCAATTACTAACCAACCATAGGACCATTTAGGGCTTATTAGATAAAAATTTCAGTGAAAAGCCATATATAAGTGCTTTTGAGGAGATAGTGAATTCGTCAGATATGACAGCCTTAAATTCCTATTCAGATCCCTTTTGGCCAAATATAAAATTTTATGTTGCTGCTTTTGAGTCAGGGACAGTTTTCTATCCCCCAGATCATGAACAATCTGCTAAGAGTTTCCTCTGACTCAGAGAAGCCCTGCCTAATCTGATGACTGTTGGAGCTGAGTAGGAATTTAGGGCTGACAGCCATTTTTGGGAATTGGGTAACAGAAGAGTACATGCAGCAAAGACTGAGTCAATAGAAGTGAACTGAGTCCTCTTTCCCACAAGTATGAAAATATTCCTTTTCATTTAATGAAAATATCAGTTTACAGAAATATGTTAAATATGATCTTTAAATTAAAAAAACGGAGAAGACACATATCACGGTGTTAATGGTGGTTATTCTGGATAAAGGAAGTACAGAGGTTTTCTTCCTTTTGTTTTAATTTCATAGCTTTTCTTTTAGAAAAGTGGAAAATTTGTTTTCTTTGAGGATTTCCATGATTTCTAAAGTATTTATAAGGAATGTATTGATTTTATAATTAGGAAAAGAAAAGCTTCTTTTTTAATATAAAGAACATATTTACAAACCAGACTAGATCCATGGAAGTCTGATCAAGATGGTGAAAGCCCAGATTCACGAAGGAAGAGTAAAGTTTGTAGAGAACCAGTGTTTAGTCTGGCAAAGAGAATTCTTACAAAATCAAAGGATCTGTGAACTCTTGAAGGGCTGCTGTCATGGAAATGATAGATTATTCTTATTTTGCATGGCTTTGGAGAGAATAATGAAGATCAGCAGGCAGAGATTATGAGGAGGAAAAATGTCCTCAGTAGAAAGAAATTAATAATCAATAGCATTCAAAATTGGGATGGACTGCCTGTATGGCAGTGATGTCCCATCTTGGAAGTATAAACTGAGGTTGGGTGGCTTTCTGTATGATTTCTTTTTTTTTTTTTAATTTTTAAATGTTTTATTTATTTTTTGAGAGAGAGGGAGAGAGACAGTGCAAGCAAGAGAGGGAGAGACAGAGTCCGAAGACAGTCTCCAGGCTCTGAGCTAGCTATAAGCATAGACCCTAACGCAGGGCTCGAACCCACAAACTGCGAGATCATGACCTGAGCAGAAGTTAGATGCTCAACCGACTGAGTCATCCAGGCACCCCTCTGTGATTTCTTAAAGAAGGAATTCTTAAAGGAGAGATTTGACTAAGTGAAATTATAAATAAAACTAAAGCAAACCAAATAAAATAACCATAAAGGCTATTTTATTTTTTTACTGTCTAAGTGTTTTGAGGTTTTTTTTTTCCCTTGAAATGATTCAAATAAATACAATACAGAAAGCTGGCACTAAGATCTTAGAAAGTTACTTGTTTGTACCTGTTGCTTTATATGTAAAATGGTGGTAATAATAGCGACAATAATGATACTGATCTCATAGGGTTGTTGTGAGGATTAAAAGAATTGCCACAGTAATCAATCAATATGCGTTAGATGCAATTTAAATAATAATCTGTAATTAAAGTGTTACAGGAAATTTGGGAAAGCTAAGATTTAGATAGCAACTGTGAACAACAGATTCTGGGAGTGTTTTTCAACAGATGGTGTTAGGGGATGATAGGGAACCACTACACTACTCCTTATAAAATAAAAAGTTTGAAACAGATTAATTTTCGAATGAAGGAAGTGATCATTCTGGAATTTTAGTATGTAGGGGATGAAATTGATGTCTGCCTTGTAAAAATGTACACCAAGTTACTTTTGATCAAGTTCCTCGGTTGTCTAGTTTTTGTTTTACCTGTCCTCGGAGGCGGTTGGGCGAGCGGCTGTTTGTAACGGAGTGTGCAATTCATTAGAGTAAAAGGTGTTTGACAGTAGGTCAGCTCCTTCAAGCTCTCTGCAACAGTAGTGCCTGCGATGAATTACCTCCATGTTTCTTGAAAGGCACAGACTGGAAAAGAAAAGGAGGGCACACTTGGTTCCCATAGTCAACTGACTTGGTCACTATCACATTGACCCTCCCTCAGGGCAGGCAGGAAACATACTTTATACTGCTGAATTGTTCAACTCAGCACTGCGTAGAAATTAGGGGCTTCCTTCCTCACCAAGAGACCATCTGTGGACCCACATATATCACATCAGTAATGAATAGTAACTTAAATTCTATGGAAATTAATTTCAAGGGAGACATCCACAAAGTGGAAGATATTCTTAAGTACAGTCTAAACACTAGTGAATAACATGTAGATTCATATCCATACAAGGCCACTCCCCAATGGACATAGACTGAGATTAAGTTTTTGTCTTGAAGTTTACCATAACTATTTAAGAAAATTCAGCTTACCCCTCATCCCATCCCCACCCCATAATATTTCTAAAAAGCAGACAGAATCATGCAGCAGAATCAGCAGCTGTGCTTCTAAAGGTTTCAGGGATCCGGAATGAGAGAAGAGCTTTGAGAGAGGAGGAGAAGCAGTGGTGCAGCTTGAGCAGGATCCCAAAGGGTAAGAATCCCACCCCCTCCCTCGGACTTGGAGGGGGAAGCCAACGAGGCCCCCTGGCTGGGACCGCGCTCCTCCCAGGCTATTAGCGTCGTGCCTAGCGGTGACTCGGGGTTCAGACGCACCTGGTACATCAGCCTGGGGGCAGCCCCGGATCGAGTCTCCCCTTGCCCTCCCCAGAGCTGGTGGGCCTCTGCGGGGCGTGGAATCCCGTCGTGGTCCGCACCTGCGGGCCCAGAGAGCTTGCGGGTTACGGCAGGTGCGGGTGGGGAGAGAGAGAGGGACGGCGAGCACGCCAGGGGTGGGGTTGAGGGTGCCTGTGACGGTGACCGTGACCTTGGCATTAGGTAACGCATTCTTGCGGAGGGGCAGGCGGCTCTTAGAAGTTTCGCAGGAAGGCAGCCCAGGAACCCTGCGACCGGCAGTAATCTGAAGCCGGACTGTGGACAAGACGCTCAGTCTTGAGGTGAAAGGGGCTCTTCCGGCGCCCCAGGCCCTCGGCCCCGCCCCCAGACGTCCTCTGAAATAGAACTCCTATTTCTTGGTTGGCCTGTTCTAGGGTTTTCCTCCGGCCCAAGAGTTCCTGAGTGTGGACTGGGCGGAGCGCGGGCTAAGGGCCAGGATGGAGGACAGGAGACCCTGGTGGGGGAGAGCATCCGGCTTATCTAACTCCTCCTTCTCCCACTGCTGGAATGGGAGTTGCGTCCACTTCGAAGGTGGCTTCGCTGGATTCTACACACGCTGCTCCCAGGATTGTCCCCTGTGGGAGCCTTGGCTCTTCCTTCCCTGGGTGGGTGTGGCAGTGGCCAACGGGCAGGTCGGCCTGGGCTGTCCTACCCAGTTCCCAAGGTCCTAGCCCCACCTCGAAGACCTCAGTTACCCGCATCCCTCCCTCCAGCCCCGTTCTCCCAGAAAGTAATGTGAACCCTGCACAGTTTCTGCACCTACAGAGACAGGAGTTTCTGTGATGGTTGAGAACTGCCCCCAAAGGACGGGGATGTGGGAAGCTTACATTTTGGGAGAGGCTAGAACTGAGCCTGTAGGAACCCAGAAGGATGTGGAGGTAGAGTGATCACCTTTGAGAAGAGAGTTGTTCTCTGACTCTTCTAAAACAACTATTTAATCAGCTGACCAGAGGGTATTCATTTTGTGCTGTGCTTTCTAGGTATTAGCTGACATGAGAGAAAGAAAAGTGCATTGGAGTCAGCAAGGTCGTACTTTTGTATTCTTGGTCAACTTCATAGCCCCTCTACCTCTCCCCCAACTCCACTAAGCTTGCAAGAGTAAATACTGCTGGAGACAGAATTGTGAATTAGGTGATGTTTGCCTTTAACTTTCACCCCTTTATACATCTTCCCCCCTCAAAAAACTTCTCTTGGAAGTCTATCCTAATCTTTTTTTGGGTTTTTGCTGCTCTGGGGTTTTTAGGATTTCTTTTTAAATTCCTTCCCATTAACTTCCCTGTCATATTTCATGTGCCCAGCCTTCCAGTAATTTCTATATCCCACCTTTCTCTTGTGCTTGACCTTTGTTACATTTCCTCATGGCTTGTTTCTTCCTGAGTGGTAATAACTGAGCACAATAGATGTAATCAGTGATATCTGCTGAAGCTGCATCACTAGCTGCGGGTTTGTATGCATGTGGATGGTTGTGATACCAGGGAAGTTACAGCCACAAAGGGACCAGGCTGTGTGGTGATAGCCTCCAGGTTCTGGTGGGTTTGAAATTTTATTTTCTGTCAGATGGGTGTAAAGAGTAGGAAAATAGCATCACTTATTTTTAACTTTGTTATCTCCAAATAAAATTTATTGGCAAGAAAAAAATTCATTGTCAGATCTTTGTAAAACAAATGTTCTCGTTGAAAATGCTTCCCCATCTGTAAGGTTCTTGAGGTTGTCAGAACTAGATCTCCTTGACCACACTCCTTATTTTAGGGTTTTGTGACTTAACCCACACTGCCTCAGTCATCAGGTAATGTATATGTGACCCCAACAAAAAGTAAGCGCCCTCCTTGGGATGCTCAAAACAACTGGTTTCTTAGGTGTACCACCACTTTTCGTGGAGTCAGTAGCCTCACATCACCTTCCTGCTTCTCCTAACATATTGTTCTCTCCTTCACCACTTTATTTACCTTAATGTATTTTTTGAGCCACCAGTAATGCTGGTAGCAGAGAAGATGAAATTTGGGAATGAAAAAAAGGTATGCATAGAATATTGTGCCTGGGCTAACAAAAATTCCAAACCACTAAACTTAGACCTTTCACCTTCAAGGAGATAATATACAGGAAGTATATAATAATGTAAATTATTAGCTATACCCTATAACCTTTATTTTACATCTGTTGTAGAGACTTTTAACTAAGTGGTATTTGATAATGAACCAAATAAAGTTTTGAGGGATCTCGTATTTCTTGGCAGATATGAGTATTAAAAAAAAAACCCCCAGTTTTACTGATATAACTGACATATAAAATTGTATAAGTTTAAGGTGTACAATACAACGACTTTATATATGTATATATCATGAAATGACTGTCACAGTAATTTTAATTGTCAGCATCTATCACCTCATATTGTTTCAAAAAAGAATTTTTTCCTTGTGATGAAATCACAGGCACCATGCAACATTGTTCACTATAATGGTGTGCATTATATCCCAGTACGTATTCATCTTATAACCGGAAATTTGTACTTTTTGACCACCTCTGCTTGATTCCCTTACCTCTCACCCCCTGCCTCTGGCAACCACAAATCTGATCTCTTTTTCTATGAGTTTGGTTTTTTTAGATTCCATGTATAAGTGAGATCACACTGTATTTATCTTTCTCTGTCTTCCTTAGCATAATGCCCTCAAGATCCATACATGTTGTCATGAATGCAGGATTTCTTTTATTTTTTTATTTTTTAATGTTTATTTATCTTTGAGAGAGAGAGAGGGAGAGAGGGGCAGAGAGAGAGGGAGACACAGAATCGGAAGCAGGCTCCAGGCTCTGAGCTGTCAGCACAGAGCCCCTCACGGGGCTCAAACCCACGAACCACAAGATCATGACCTGAGCTGAAGTTGGATGCTTAACCAACTGAGCCACCCACGTACCCCCATGATTTCTCTTTTATGGCTGAGTGCACGTGTACCACATTTTCTTTATCCGCTAGTCTGTCGATGGACACTTAGGTTGTGTGCATGTCTTGGCTATTATATATAATGCTGCAGTGAACATGGGGTGTAGATATCTCTTTGACATGGTGATTTCATGAGCATTTAAAAAAAATTTTAATATATTTTTTAGAAGTTTATTTATTTTGAAAGAGACAGAGACAGCAGGAGTAGGGGAGGGCAGAGAGAGAGGGGGAGAGAGAATCCTAAGGAGGCGCCACGCTGTCAGCATGGAATCCTAGGCAGGGCTCAAACCCATGAAGTCACAAGATCATGACCTGAGCCGAAGTTAAGAGTCAGATGCTTAACTGACTGAGCCAGCCAGGCACACATCATGAGTACTTTTCAAATGGAAAAAGTTTGAGTATTGTTCCCTGCCTAGAAGATAGGTTGGGAAGTTCTTTCAGTGACTTTAAAACATACATTAAGGGGAACATGGGTGGCTCAGTCGGTTGAGCATCCGACTTTGGCTCAGGTCATGATCTCACAGTTCATGGGTTTGAGCCCTGTACGGGCTCTGTGCTGACAGCTAGCTCAGAGCCTGTAGCCTGCTTCAGATTCTGTGTCTCCCTCTCTCTCTGACCCTCCCCTGCTCACGCTCTCTCTCTCTCTCTCAGAAATAAATAAAAACATTAAAAAATTTTTTAATAAAACATGCATTAAAAAGACTGCAAAATCTCATTGATTCCAATGTATATATCCTCCTTAGTAGGATGATAATTAAAAATACATATTCTGCTGGCTTTAAAATTAAACTGATTACAAATGAGTTTAATGACACTTTAATATTAAATTGAGTACTTTTTGCTTTGAGTAGCTAAGGAACTGTATATTCATTCAAATGACATAGATGCAGATATTTATAAAATGTGCTTATTTAGTAAATAATCCCTAATTGCCCAGGTTGTCCCAGTGCTTGAAATCTCTGGGGATATGGAACAGGAAACAGTTACAATCAATGTGGTAGGTGCTGCATTGGGAAGCAAATACGCTTGCACTTCTTGCCTCAAGAATTATGGAAATAAGTAATGTTGGATATTTTCTTTCTGGCCTCTGGTGGATGACACGCTAAAGATGGCCCCCAATGAGCCACAGCTCCTGTGGTTAATGCTCAATGAGCAGTTCCCACCTACTTCTGTATGGGCTGCTGTGTGACTCAGGTTAACCACTTGAATGCAGTAGAAGTGGGCTCTGCCAATCCTAGACCTAGTCTTTTTTTTTTTATTACTTTTTAAAAAATGTTTATTTATTTTTGAGACAGATCATGAGCCAGGGGCTGGGGGGAGAGACATAGAGAGAGAGGGAGACACAGAATCTGAATCAGGCTCCAGGGTCCGAGCTGTGCACCTTGAGATCATGACCTGAGCTGAAGTCTGATGCTTAACAGACTGAGCCACCCCAGGTGCCCCCCTCCTCCCACCCCAGATCTAGTCTTTAAAAGGACTGGCAGCTTCTACTTTCTTGCTCTTCGGACACTTACTTTTGAGAGGCCTGAACCACCATGACATAAGTATGACTACCTTACCGGAAGGATCCTGTGGAAAGATTACATGAAGAGGGAGAGAGAGAGATCCTGTTGTCATAATGTCCCTGTTATCTGAAGAGATGTCTCCAGCCTCTCCTGTCATCCGACTGCAACCACGTGAAGAGGCCCCAGATGAGATCAGCGGAAGAACTGCCCACATGATCTCAGGCAACCTACAGAATCACAAGAGGTAATAAAACAGTTGTTCTTTAAAACCACCGACTCCCAGTATGGTTTCCTATGCAGCATTAGATAACCAAGCACTTGTTATATAAAGTTTGTACACGTTACACAGTTTGTTTTCTTTCTTTCCTTTGTAAATATTAGAATGTTTTACTATTTTAATGTTAATTAGAATGGTGGTGGTTGACGTTACAATGTAGTATTTAGGATGCAGAATATTTTGATGGTGTTGTAACTAAATGAGGAGAGGAAATAACATCATCCAAAAATAGAAATGGTGACTGTTAGGACCTTCCGGGGAGTGGGGGACTGAGTGATAGGATGTTCACTTGTATGAAGAATAATTTCATCATGTAGGTGGTAGCATGTCATATTATTGTTGCACTGGTGTTTAAATATGGGTAGAAAGGTGTCTGTGGATACTGAAGAGTCAAAGGAGTGGAGCGTAGGCTAGTTGATGCCACAGTAACACATAACCACCAAATCTAAGTAGCTTAAAATCTCACTGGCTTGTTTCTCCTTATGCTCCATAAACCAATACTGCAGGGGCCTCTGCACCTTGTCATTCATGGCCACTGTCTCCTAACTCTGCCATTTCAACGTGGGGCCTCAGGGTTTGCATCAGCAGAAGGGAGTGTAGATGATTAAGCACCAGCTCCTAACTGTTTCTACTTACAACTGATTTGCAGGAATTTAAAAACATTCTTATGGCGAAAGGAGATTGCAGGGCATGGCCTGTGGTATGTCATGTTCTTGTGTGCCTAGAAAAAGAGGGAGCTGGAAATGTTAATGAATTCTAGTAACATAAGTCACAGTGTTCATCTAGTACCTTGCCTCCCCCCAAGTTTTACCTTCACTATATCATTCTCTATACTACCACCTGGGAGATTTTTGTAAAATGCAAATCTGACATGTGTCTTGCTTGAAATCCACCATGGACCCCTGTTATTCACAGCATGAAGGCTGACTTCTGATTTTGAAAACAATTTTATTAATCTAATCTGTCTTTCTCATCCCTGTCTCACCGGCAGCCCGCTCTTCAATTATATTGAGCCTACTTGCAATTTTTTCACTTAGCCTTTTTTTCTGGTCTCCCTGCCTTTTCATCTCTAGTTCTCTAATATCAAATTTCATTGTTTTTGGTAAACCATATCTATAATTCAGGGTTCAGTAAGGAGCAAAAACCATTATTTGAGCAGGGTAAATTTAATATAAAGGATTATTAGCTAGTAGAAGCTGGTTAACTACTAAAAGAGGGAGATTTAAACTTCTTGGAAGACAGAGTGGCTATCATAGGTACACACAGCCTTCAGATGGAGAAGAAACTTGCTAGAGGTGTAGATTAGCATGTTCTCTAAAGTGATCTGATCTTAGAGGATGTGAGTTGGCCAGACTAGCCTCTGGAAGTGGCCTGCCATGGCTGGAGGGTATGATATTGCTGTTGGTAGAGAGAGAGAGCAGTCTAACAGCATAGTTGGAAGTCTTCTAGGTGGATGCCAGGCTCTGGTGATGAATAATAATAATAAAAGATCAGTATCTAAAACTCAAGTGTCTCACTGTTATCATTGCCTTGCAGGGTCATTTCAGTGCTCTCTATTGGTGAAACTTAAAATTCTGCCACCTGATAAAGGAGAAGCTTTTGCAGGATCCAAGTTCAGTATCACAAAGTGCAGGGCAAAGAAGAATGGATTTGGAATGGAGAGCCAATAAATTTGTAACTTGCACATTTTAGTAATGGTAAATTATTTAACACATACTGTGTACCAGGTGTGGTGATAAGAAGTGTGTGTGTGTGTGGGGGGGTGTGTGTGTGTGTGTAGGTGAAGTAGATATCGTCATGACATATACAAAAAATGATCCATTTTTGTCTGGACATCAAAGCTATGTTCTTCTCTGCCATCCTGATATTCCTTTCTTTGTAGAAAGTTAAATGTGCCCTTTTAGGCATCACAATCCCAGACTTTAGCCTCTACTACAAAGGTGTAATCATCAATACAGTATGATATTGGCACAAAAACAGACACAGACAAATGGAATAGAATAGAGAACCCAGAATTGGACCCACAAATATATGGCCAACTAATCTTTGACAAAACAGGAAAGAGTATCCAATAGAAAACAAACATCTGTTTAGCAAAGAGTGCTGAGAGAAATGGACAGCAACATGCAGAAAAATGAAACTAGACCACTTTCTTACACCATACACAAAAATAAACTCAAAATGGATGAAAGACCTGAATGTGAGCCAGGAAACCATCAAAACTCTAGATAAGAAAGCAGGTAACAACTTCTTTGACCTCAGTCGCAGCAATTTCTTGTTCGACACATCTCCAAAGGCAAGGGAATTAAAAGCAAAAATGAACTATTGGGACCTCATCAAGATAAAAAGCCTCTGCACTGAAAAGAAAATAATCAACAAAACTAATAGGCAACCAATGGAATGGGAAAAACTATTTGCAGATGACATATTGGATAAAGGGCTAGTATCCAAAATCTGTGAAGAACTTAACCAAACTCAACACCTGAAAAACAAATAATCTTCTGAAATGGCAGAAGACATGAATAGACACTTTTCCAAAGAAGACATCCAGATGGTCAACAGGCACATGAAAAGATGCCCAATGTCACTCATCATCCGGGAAATACAAACCAAAACCTGAGATACCACACCACACCAGTCAGGGTGGCTAAAATGAACAAATCAGGAAACTATGGGTGCTGGTGAAAAGGTGGCGAAATAGGAAATCTCTAGCATTGTGGGTAGGAATGCAAACTGGTTCAACCCCTCTGGAAAACAGTATGGAGGTTCCTCAAAAAATTAAAAATAGAACTACCCTATGAACCAGCAATAGCACTGCTAAGAATTTACCCAAGGGATACAGGAGTGCTGATGGATAGGGGTACATGTACTCCAATGTTTATAGCAGCACTTTCAACAATAGCCAAATTATGGAAAGAACCTAAATGTCCATCAACTAATGAATGGATAAAGAAGATGTGTTTTATATATACAATGGAATACTACTTGGCAATGAGAAAGAATGAAATCATGCCATTTGCAGCAATGTGGATGGAACTGGAAGGTATTACACTGAGTGAAATAAGTCAGTCAGATAAGGACAGATATCATATTTTCCCTCATATGTGGATCTTGAGAAACTTAACACAAGTCCATGGGGGAAGGGAAGGGGAAAAAATAGTTACAAACAGGGAGGGAGGGAGGCAAAGCACAAGAGACTCCTAAATACAGAAAACAAACTGAAGGTAGATGAGGGGGTGGGGGAGAGGGGAAATGGATGATGGGCATGGAGGAGGGCACTTGTTGGGATGAGCACTGGGTGTTGTATGGAAACCAATTTGACAATAAATTATATTTTAAAAAATGTGACCTCTTATCTTCCCCCTTAGTGCTTGGCTCTGAATTAGAGTACTTATATTATAGTGCCTTTTGGTTTATGTGTCTACCTCTCTTAGTAATATAGGAGACCTTAAAAAGCAAGAATCATATTTTTTGTTTCATTTTGGGTTCCCAGTGCCTACCTTTAATACTTAGTACCTAACAGGCACTTAAATGCTCATGAAAAGAATAATATTTGGATGTCAATGCCAGTGGGCTAAATAATGCTGGAAACATATAGGTAGGTGCTGAGTAAATCTGTTGAGTTGGGATGAGTATTTGCTAATGAATTAAACCAGTCAGGTCATGTTGAGTGTTGGGAATAGGGAAAGCCTTTTTTGTTTTTATTTATAGTTTGGTTTATTAACACCATAAGGTAATAGGAAACTGTCAATTTAAAATCTCTTTTATATTTTTGTGCATAGGAAAGCTTTGATTCCTAAAAAACACTTGGCTCATTGTATAATGGTTACAATTTTAGTTCACTGACATGGATATGTTCTGATGTTGGCCATTCCATTAAATCTCCATTAGGTTCACATTCTACCTCTGGCACTTTTTCTTTCTTTCTTTTTTTTCTTAAGTTTACTTATTTATTTTGAGAGAGACTGAGACACTGCAAGTGGGGGCAGGGCAGAGAGAGAGGGAGAGAGAGAAATTCAAGCAGGCTCTGCACTCGCAGGCTTGAACCCATGAAACTGTGAGATCATGACCTGAGCAACTTAACCAACTTGCTTAACCAACTCAGCCACTCAGGTGCCCCTACTTCTGTCAGTTTTTCAAGTAAGACACTTTAGAATCATCCTTTGGATTATGTTATTGGTATTTAAAGAGTATTGAGTTTTGTTCTAGCAGGAGTTAAATAACCAGCATATATGAGTCTTGGTTTTAGGCTTTGTTAGGGGTGGTCTATTTCATTCCCCTCCCCCCAACTCTTTATAAAATGGCCTTAGCTGAATGGCCAGACTGTTTACCAATCTAAGTATAGTAAACAGTTGTAGGGTATGCTATTTGTTAGTACATGAAAGAAAATTATGTGTTTTCTAAAAATTATGTATCTATCTATATACACACATAACATTTCTTATATATGCAAAGTACTTCTGGAAATATGCACAATAACCTGGCCACATTACATCGGTTGACTTTGGGAAAGAGAACTAGTAACTGAAACTCGGTGGAGGGAGAGAGGTGTTTTTTCATACTCCTTTTTGGTATCCTTTGACTTTTGAACATATTACCTATTTGCTGTAGATTAGATTTTCTGGAAGCAAATGCTGAGAGGGAGTTTGGTGTACAAGATGTCTGTTAGAGATCAACACCTGTGGAAGGGAGGAAAAGAAGAGGACTGCACATAGTCTGTCTATGTCTTGAGCCTGACAAAATCTTGGCTAACCCTCTGGAGAGCTTTGGACCACATATGGCCTGTCGTTACTTTCCTTATCCCTGTGTTTTGTTGAGAGTTTGGATGGATATAAAATCCCAGTGGTGTGAAGGAAGGAAAGTTATTCCTAGATTAATAAGTCTTCAAACCTTCCAAGAATGTCTCTCAACTTGTTTCAGTGATATCACCCACCTCACCCATCTTTGAATTCAGAGGTACCTAAAAATTTTTTTTTAACATTTATTCATTTTTAGGAGACAGAGACAGAGTGTGAGCAGGGGAGGGGCAGAGAGAGAGAGGGAGACACAGGATCCAAAGCAGGCTCCAAGCTCTGAGCTGTCCACACAGAGCCCGATGTAGGGCTCAATCGAACCCTTGAAATGGGAGATCATGACCTGAGTCGAAGTCTGATGCTTAACCAACTGAGCCACCCAGGCACCTCCACAGATACTTCTTAACTGATGCAAATACTATAATCATGCTTGTTTGTTTGTTTGGAAATTTGACAACATATAGAAAAAATCCTAGAGCAATTGAAAGTAGTTGCTTTTGAGGAAAAGAAATTGGAAGTACATGAGGTTGGCCTTGGGACAGTTGTTTTTCATTCAACTTGAGCTCTTTTGTGGGTGAAAGGGGGGCACTATTAAAAGCATACTAGGATAATAAACCTGAATTAGAACTATCCCTGGAAAACTGGGATGCAGTTACCCTAATTACAAATCCTGTAAAATTCTTTTGACTTCTTAAAGTTTGTATATCTATTTCTTTCTAAACATATAATTAATCTTTAAAGAAGACTCATAAAGTATGGAAGCCAGTTAGTACAACTTGACAATCAATGCAGAAGTGATGTCTGTGATATTCCTGGTGTTTAACCATCCAGTCTTTGCCCACACACTTTTCCACAGCCCGTATCAGTCAGATCCATTACTGGGCAGCTATACTTGTTAGAGGCTTCTTTCACACTCGCCAATTTGTATTTTGCACCGATAGGCAATACTACAGAAACCTTTCTCTTCCCTGACTAGCCTCGAGTTTAGAAGTGCGTTGCTTTCATAAGTCTAAGGGAGGTGACACCTCTACCCTGCCCCACCCCTCAGCTTTTCTATACCACTGTGCTGCACTTATCAGTATTAAAGTGATCAGTGCCCATAGACCTGAAAAGTGGGGAGAGCAGATTTGCTTAGGGTAAGAAACAAGACTTCAGAAATGATTTAGTGTCTTGAGTAAGGTCATGCATAACCCTACAAGGTAAAAGCCTTATCCGGTTTGATTGGCAAGTGAAAGGCTCATGCATCAGAGAAATCTCTGACTTGAGTGATGTATACACCCTGGCTCCATGCCTGCCCCATTCCTCTCTCAGGCTGCCACCATTGCCCTCCTGTCATCCTATGATGTAGGACATGGCCAAGATTGACAAGAGAGACAAGGTTGAAGGGGCAGTTGTTAAAATGTCACCCACTCAGACTGAAATCCAAATGGCTTAATTTAGCATGCTGCATTTTAATTAATGAGAGTGAAAAAGTGAAGAGGTTGTGGTTTCTAATCAAACAAAGTAACGCTTTAGTTACTGAAATGCAAATGGCTTAAATGGGAGGGAAACAAAAGTTAATTAGATCAAAAGGATATATTAAGAGGAGACTAAAAACATTTTTGCCAGAAGTCGATCTACAGTTGGTTTGTGCTCAAAGACGGTACATATAGATATTAAACAGTTTAATGTAAATATTTTAATATTTGATCACTTTGGGACTTCAGTGACTTTCAATTTTATAATAGATACAGCCTTTGTATTTCATTGCAGATGTTTTAACATGGAGTCTTGCTGCTTCTCAGTGGGCACTGTTTGTTGTTTTTTACGTACTTACCTTTTCCTTAAGGATGTGTGGATTCTCTGTTGCTAAAAGTCCTTAACTCATAGCTAGACTGAGGCTGGAAAAGTT